GTGCAGGCCGTTGCTACGGGGCCATTAAATTTCCCCTCCCAGTCAGGGATGTGGGGTGTTGACCGTTGTTCCTGCACAGACACACGTCTCTGGATGCTTTTATGCTCTGAAACCAACTTAACGTGGGTACTTAGAATGAAGGGAAGGATTTGGGCTTTTTGTAGCCCATGGTCTGTGTTTTTCATCTAATGTTATTTTATACTTATTGTTCTTTTTCCGCAGCGATGGAAGCGAGTCCCATCTTGACATCCAAGCAGCGAGAGGAGGTGGTACACGGGTTCCCGACGGAGGTGGTGTGCACGGCGTTCTCCAACTCCATCCTCGTGCTAGTCACACAGTATGGGAAGATGGGGACAATCGTCTACGTACACCCCAACACCATCGGGGACAACGTGGGCAGGCCCTCACTCACCACAAAGGTGCTACTGGGCGAGGATGAGGTGAGAGAGGATATACAGTGCACAGGCAGCAAGGGTAAGGGGGAAATGGAGTAGGTGGGGCTGTGCAAGTGGCCAGGGAGTTGATGAATCACAGCAGTTGAGCGGTGTTTGCACAGTGTTAAGATTAATTTTTAAATCTCTTCTGAGGGAAGCGGGGTTCGTCAGAAAGATATGCACGCTCATCTGCTCTTTGACATAACGAAAGTTCAACTAACCATGAGTGGTTGGGAATCTGTTATTTTGTGTCCTACAGGATATGGATTGCTTCACCATGTTTATGGAAGGTTTGATAAACCTCCTGTTGGTTTAAGGGTTGCAAGATCAAACATGCAACAATTGATAACCTTTTCTTGGGTTTCTATTCTAGTGAGTTTGTTTTCCTTTTCAAGTCCCTTTTCTCACACACTCCCACACCCCTCCATCTATGCCAGCCCCGTAACAGGCTTTAGTTGCCTTCTCCCAAGTGTGCCCTCTCCCAGCACCTTCCCTTGATAAAGTTTAATTTGTTTTGCTTCAGCAAAATGAGTTTTTATCGACCATTTCACAAAGCTGCAGAGAAAGCAGAAGGAAATGTATTTTACAAAACATCAACTTGTCAGGTATTAAAACAGAAAGTTACAGAGCTACAAGATTATGAGGCTTTCCATCAGGGTTGGAGCTATCAAATATTACTTGCTAACCTTAACTAGAAAAACTCAAGCAACACAAGTTCCTGATTCTATCTGCAGCTTCCCCTTGTGGAGTTCTTGTTCTTCAGCAGTAGCCTTCCTTCTCTGGATGGGAGATGCTTTGCTTTCCCTGGCATGATGTCTGCTAATTTTTACCACCTCCACCCCCAAGCTGTGTTTTATTTGGAAATGGGAAGTGCCTTTGTTTGCTTTGTTACATAGTATTTTTAAATCATTTTATCAATCAATCTAAACTCTTAAGAAAAGGTTTTCACTAGTTTGCTGCCTTCCTGCTTATCACCATTATCATCCCCATTTGGGATGCTACACACTCCCAAACCACACTGATAGCTAGAATCAAGCAAACTCATCCTTCTGATAAATATGTAACTGTGAGTGTAAATAAAACCTAGACAAGCTGGATGTTCTTGTTAAAGAAACCTCATTAAGAAGTTTATATCCCTTCCCTCCTTCAGCCTCACTACTTATTTCTATTTTTCATTATTCTGTTAAAATCAAAACCAAGTCTTTTACACATGGTGTGCAAAGGCTATGTATATAACACCATTTTGGGGTCTCTAGGAATTGTAAAAATAACAGGTTTTTTTCCTAGAGCTTATCAGCAGAACGTACCCTCTTCAGCAACAAGTTTTTAAAAGAAGTTTTTAAAATAAAATTTTACTTGGAGATTTCTTCAGAATGTCTGTGATGGAAACAGAGGCATTTTGATCCATGGCTTTTCCTATATTTGATATTTGGTGATGTAGTTTGGGTGGGAGGATTAGCGGCAGGAAAGATTCTTCGTACCAACTTTCCAAGTTTTCCAAACTGGTGCGAAAGTCGATACAAGTGCAGCTCCAGTTGGGTTGTTTCAGGGTGGTTTGAGTGGCTGTCGCTTACACATGGGTCCAAACTCTTCCCCTTTAAGCTGTTTGAGAAAGGGCTTTCTACAGTTCTCCGTACCGTGGCTTTGCTGCCCAGCCAAACTGCATGTCTGTTCCCAGTCACATTGGAACCGCTCAGCAAACTGCGGGCTCAGTCCAAGCCCGGCATCGACAGGTTCTTGACGTGCTCCATGTTATTGCAGGACTCTTCCTCAGCCATGAGGGAGGGCCCTCCCAGCTCTAAGAGTGTACATCCATATACCTTTGCTTTTCAGCCCCTCATTCATGTTTGTGCCAAAAACCTGGTGGCGTTCGTCTCTGAGGAAGCCGGGAACAAGCCTGTTGTTCTCGCCATGGCGTTGAAGGACAAGACCATGGAAGGAATACAGGCTCTACGGGAAGTGATCCGAAGTTGCCAAGTGTGGTGAAGTTGTGCCATCTGGATTCAAGGAAATGATCTTGAGTCTGTGACTCATCACCACTTATTTGAAGGGACAAGAAATGAAAATGATGGAATGTCTTTGTGCTGGTTTTGGATGTACTGAGGAATTTAATGAATTTTTCACTGCTGTGTAGAACACTTGTGGGTTTTGTTACTGTGACAGGTTTGCAGCCCATATAGTCTTAACATACAAGAGAAGTACGATTTTTGTCACATTGGGCGGGATGTGTGTTTGGGAAATGGCATGGCTCTGCGTTTGTGTCCTGAGGAGCGAGAGATGCCAAGCTCTGTAGCTACACTGCACCGCAAAGGGGAAACACCCAGTCCAGGGGGAATAAAAGAAACATTGACAAATCCAATTTTACCTGTTTTCATTTTTGCTGTGTGAAAATCACTTTCAATTGAAACACAAGCCTCAGTAACAAATAACAGCAGTTGCATAAGAGGAAAGATTTTCTTGCCTGTTTTTAAGGAAGTGAGTCCTATGTGACTGCTTTTGTCCTTATGTCATTCCCTTTCCTGATGTAGACTAAATCCATTTTCCACTTTCACTGTGATTTTAAAGAGAGGCAGATGATTATGCTCTGCAAATTTCATGAAAGCTGCCATCAGGGTGGAAGGCAGGAACCCAAATTAGTGGTGAGAAAAAGAGAAAATAAACAGCTGCTTATGGATTACGTGGTACCAGCGCATCGGAGAGGCAGCACATACATAGGTTGGACCACCTGCAATGAGCTGTCCCTCTCCTAAACATCTGTTTTAGGAGACATGGGGACAGAAGGGATTGGGGGGGGTTACACAGGGGTGTCTCTTCTGAGTCCGTTGGAAAAAAGTGTTAGATAAAGTCATACAAGTTGATGCAATGCTTAATGGCCAAACTTCTGCCATTTGCTTGGAAAGCGCATTTGTTTTTTACCTCTTGTAACAAATAACACGAAGTAGTAAGTTTTTAAGCGAGCTGTTACACACTTTTGTCACTTAGGAACTTGACTGAGCAGACAGAGGCCAGGTCTTGGGTTCTGGGCAGGGAAGACTTCTGCTTTGTTAAGACCCACCGATACCAGCAGTATCAGTATAGAGATTGTTCCTGCCCCCCGTGGATCCGGCTGGTGGGTCATTTCTGTTGCTAAAAAAATCCCCTAAAAGTCTAAACGCAGAAAATGCATTTCAAAAGGGCTCTTTTCTCTGAAGTAAGGGTTATTTACAGTATTTAAAGGATTATGAGAAATGAAACTTTTTTTAAAAGTACATCCAGACACTGTAGGCTTCTAGCTGCCCTTGACAAGAAATTTTATCTAAAAATAATTTTCTGAACTATGTTTCCAAGAATCAAAGATTTGCATCTGTCAGAACTCCAAATTTTCCCTCTTTTACACTTTCTTTTTTTTGTTTTGTTTAGGAAGGCTGAGAGGCGTGTGGAATTGGTTGATGTCGATCCTGGTTTGCTAGTAGGGATTCTTTCCTGAAACAAAATTCAATGTATTTTTCCAACCCCTGCTGCTCTTATGGTGTCCGTAGCTCCAGGAACTTGGGGAATCATAAAGTAATTAGCAATTTGAATGTAAATCACCCCTTCCATCGTAGCGATACGGTGGCGTACCACTGCTGTGCCTGAGGACCTGAGTGTTACTACCTAAAAGCCGACCACGAGTTTACCACCTTAATTTCCTGGGTTTGTGTGCCATCAGGCCTGCACAGGGTGGCAGGTAAAGAAAGGATGTGGAGATCTCTCCCATTGGTGCTCAGAGCCAGGACAGGGTTATCTTGCTGCCTTTCCACAGGTGATAAATTAGACCACGAGCAATTGGTCCTTCGACTTTGCTCCTCTCTGCTCTGCAGTAAACCAGGGGGAAGGTCTGCCCCAAAAACCAGGCGCGAGTCTGCCAGTGCCACCAGCTGCCTGCCTCGCGGTCATCGCTGTCCTCCAGGTAAGGATTATTTCCCAGTTGCAAGAAAACCTGCCTTTGCCACCCAGGCAGAGCTCTCGCCCACGGCCACAGGACGCATGTCGGGCTGTGCCGTGGCTTCCCATCCGTGTTTGCTTTCCGGGCGTGGGTGCCCAGCACGGTGGACTGGAAAGGTGAGTTCGGTAGCTTTTCCGTGGGAGGCAAAGCCTGACCTGCTGCTCCAGCTCCCCTGGGGCCCGGGGTGCAGCCAGGGTTGAGTGGGGCACCGGCAGGGCCTGCTGCCAGCAGCGGGCAGGACTGGGAGGGTGCCCGGAGGAGGAGTCTCCCGCGGGTGCAGGTGGAGGAGGGCGCAGGGGATATGGAGGCAGGTGCATGGCAGCCAGACCCGCTCCGGGAGGA